GGTCATGTTTTTAACATCTTGTGTGTGTATTATTTTATTAGTTTTAAACTTACAAAACATAAACACGTATTTTTGTCCCATTATGAAAATTCACGAAATTTTAAAAAAAAATCTGTCTTCACTAATCAGTATCTAAAATTTTAATATTATCATTTTGATAGTTATGGATAAAAAGCATACTATTATTAATAATTACAAAACCCAAATTTGAAAATAATATTATAAATTGTATAATGACAAATAATTAATAGAGAGAAATTTCAAAAAATGCCACTTTCAAATGTCATTTTACAAAAATGACACACTTTTGAAATCTTTACAAAAATGCTACTTTTTCAAAATTATTTTTTCTTTATATTATTTATATTTAGGTTAATTATGTTCTATTAGAGTTTAATTTTGAATGTTTAGATGGTTTTAGGTGTCAAAATATTTTTTAGTGTTTAGAATTTTAAGATATATATTTTATAAATTTATAATTAGTGATATTTTTGTAAATGGATACCCCTAAATGGTATTCTTGAGTAACTATTTTTGTAATTATCCCAATAATATAATATAATGTTAATTAAAAAAAAATTCAATGGTGCTGATATTTTCTCTATAGAAGTGTTGATAATATGTTTTTGGTCAAACATTACAGATGTAATAATTCCATAATTTTCTTATGAAAAATGATTTCATTTACTTTTTGGGGGTCTATTGAGAAGAAATAAATGGCACATCAACTCATCAAGTGGATGGTAAAGTTGACTATCTCCGCCAAATAAATAGAATTGTCATAAACTATTAGGCAATAAGTATCATAAATCTACCAGATTAATTTTCTTATCAAATTTCATTTTTCAAAATAAATCTTGGATCGATCACGTTGCTTTAATATCCATCCACCATAAATTCTAAGTCACGTCAACATTGCGTTGTTATTGTATCTAACAAATGCTAACATGTTGTTAAAAAAACAAAAACAAAATTATAGTATTTAATTAGTCATATATTTGCCAATATTGGATTGCAATTGTTGGGTTTGAATTTTTATTTTATCATTACTCTTGTGATTGCTTGTTTTCTTTTTGGTTTTTATTCAACTATAATAGATTTACAATCAAACATCCGATTTAAATAGATAAAACGTTTGAATTTTTATTTTTGATTTTTCTATAAAACAAACTTAAATCAAAAAGATAAATTTTTTTACCATTTTTGTAATTATTCCATGTTTTTTCGGCATGATCGCTTATTAAATGATCGTTTTTTAATAAAAAGTTAATCAATTATTATTTTTTTAAAAGTTGAATTTTTTTTTAATATCTATAAATTAGTGTAATATATTATCAGAGCAATATATAGATCTTTTTTTTATACAGTGATTCACATTATTCTTTACAAAAAAAATTATTATTCCATGATAAAAATGTTAATGAAAATAAAATTATACTAAAAAAAGGTAACTCCGTGAAGAAAGAAAGAAAGACATTGACGGCCGTTATTATGGTTAGACGGAGGAATGTCATGAACCAGCTGGTGAGTTTTCTACGGTTCTTGTCAATGGAAGAAGATAAACTCTGTAAAAATGCAAACTTTATTAACTTACAAAAATCAAAAGTGATTGATAACCTCGGAAATAATAAAAATAAATAAAAGAGAAACAAGTGTTTTTTGTAGGGTTTACATATAAAATTGAAAAATTGGAACAAAACT